GCGTACGTCTGCTCGCTACATCCTGACCCCTCGCGCACCGAAAAAAGAGAAAAACACGACGGTTCACAGCCCCGGCAAGGCTGCAAATGTCGACAGAGACTTCACTGCGGCTAATGAGATGCTTGTGCGGCGATACTTCACCGAAACGCCACTCCACGAGGACAGGACATTTGCACGTCGATATCGCATGTCAAAGCCACTATTCATGAGAGTCCACGACGAGCTGATTTCGCATTATCCGTATTTTCGTCAGCGCTTTGATGCAACTGGCAAGCCAGGAATTAGTAGTTTGTTGAAAATTACTGCAGCGTTTCGGATGCTGGCATACGCGAAGGCAGGGGATGAGATGGACGAAGTCTGCTCTATCGGAGAATCTACGGCATTTGAGATATTAGATGAGTTCTGTTTTGACGTTGTAGAACATTTTGGACCAACGTACCTGCGAGTACCGACAGAACACGACATTTCAGCTTTGCTCGACGTGAATAAAGCGAGAGGTTTCCCGGGAATGATAGGTTCGATTGATTGCATGAAATGGGAGTGGGCGTTATGCCCTCGAGCACACGCTGGTCAATACAAAGGACGCGAGAAGAAACCTACTGTTGTGTTAGAAGCAATTGCATCAGGGGATCTGTGGATTTGGCATGCTGATTTCGGAGCAGCAGGTTCCAACAACGACATCAACGTTCTTCAAAGATCGTCATTTCTACGACGATTGCTTCACGGTGAAATTCCTCGCGTTACGTACAAACTTGGTAAGACAGAGCGCGACCTTCCTTTCTTGCTTGCCGACGGTATTTACCCGAATTGGTCGGTATTTGCCAAAGGTATAGCAACGCCAACCTCACAAAAAGAGAAAAACTATACGAAACTTCACTCAGCTTTACGGAAAGACGTTGAAAGAGCATTCGGCGTTCTTCAGCGACAGTGGAGGATACTTGCTTTGCCTGCACGGTTCTGGACTGTTAAAAAGCTTGAAGAAGTAATGAATTGCTGCATTGTTTTGCATAACATGATAGTGGAGTCGCGGCACGATTTACTTCATGTCGTGTACTTTTCAGATCCGCCTGAACCAGCGGTATCGCAATCTGATTGTCCTATCACCTCAATTACAGACGTCATCGATGCATTTAGCAATATTGACAACGAATACGAGCACATCAAGCTTCAGAAAGAGTTGGTAGAACATGCTTGGGAAAATAAAGGCAATGCATTATAAAAAAATACACTGGCTTCATCAAACTCTGGTCACAAATCTGCAATCTCAACAATGTTTTCTTCTTGGGATTCACTCGCAACGCCACTTGACTCCTGATTGAACCCCATCGGGATCTCAGTTTCAGCAGCAGAAACCTGGTAGGTTTCACTCGTCTCGTCGTCGCTCTGCTTCGACTCCGCGATTTTTTTTATCATTTCGGAGAGTTTCTTTTGACGCAGAATTTTGAAAAACTGAGCGCGTTGATCAGGGTCAGCATCAGGCATGTTGAAGAGTTCGATGCTTGCCCACTCGCTCAAAATGTCGTTCTTGCGCTCCATTGATCTTGCGATCGACCTAGACGCAGCGTACTGCATCTCAAGCAGTTTCCCCTCCTTCAGCGATTGGATCGCTGCTTTTGCACCTTGGGGACGCTTGGTATCCCTCGTTTCAGCAGCATTTCCATCAGCAGGTCGCTTCTTGTTCACACTCGCCGTCCACTTCGGTTTGTCCTTAAGTACTTCGTATGCAGCAGCAAAAGAAAACTCCTCTCCTTGACGAGCCTCGTATAACTTCAGAGCGTCTTCAAATCTGTCTTCTTCTGTTTTCCCACTTTCGTTTTGCCCAACAACAACAACCAAACAACCAACAAGCCGGCTCACCTCTCGATTGATGTCTGACCATCGGTTTTTCAAGGCGATGAGAGAGCGCTTGCTTCCTGGTACTATCGTACGGTATGACTGCAAGATTAGCGTCCAAAGGTTGTCCGCCTTCTGATCGGCCCCTGCGATTGGGTTCTGCGACGTAGCGCACCACGCCGTGCACAGGGCGGCGTCTTCCTTGTCCGACCAAGCTTTTCCTCGAGGCATTGTTCGTTTGCAAGTGATCCAACCTCCTATAGATTTCAGTCGCTATGGCGTCCGAAATAGCGACCGAAACCCCCCGGTAGCTAAAAAATTGGCGATAGAGACGCCTGGTGAAACCTTAGTAGTTATCAATTTGAGCTCTTCAGTCGCTATATAGATATAGAGCCCCACCGGTGGAGATGCTCTAAGATGAGCAAACATGTAGCCATGTCGGCTGTTGAGGTTGTCTTTTTCGATTTTCTTTATTAAATCTACACGAATTAATCTACGGTACACCATACTCTTCGCTAGCAGCGACCAATAGGTTCGTATGTCTTACAAGAAGTAGGCACCGACAGCCAAAACGGTAGCAGCAGCCGCGCCATGGTGATCTGAGACGCACCGCTCGAGCCGGACGCACTGGCCGAAGCAGAAGCAGCCGAAGAGCTCGAATCACCAGTGGATGACGACACGGCGGTCGCTGCATCTGAAGACGAGTCCGTCGTCGATGTGGTCGAGCTGCCTGCGTCAACCGATCCAGTTGAGCTTGTGGTTTCCACCGACGTGTTGGCCGTAGCGCTGCCTGTGGTGCCGACGGTGGGGGTAGTGGCGCCCGTCCCAAAAGCAGCCGTGGTGGTGGTGCTTGCTCCAGAGGCAGCCGTCGTTGCACCTGTGTCGGGAGCTGCAGTCGCGCTAGTTGAGGAAGCGACGCCCGTGGCTCCTGTAGCGGGGGTCACTGCCGGCGTCGTGGCGTCTGTGGCCGGAGTCGCACCGGTGTTGGTTGTCGTAGTGGTGGCAGCTTGTCCGGAGACGCCAGCGACGGCGAGGGCGGCGATAACGAGGACCTGGAAGAACTTCATGGTTGGGGATAGAGAGGAGGGAAGAAGCTAGTGCACTTGAAAGTGGAAATGAGAATGAGGTACGGAGGAAATCGTGTTCGAGTTGCGCTGGGAGAGGAGTGCAACAGGATGAACGGTTTACCATGATATTTTACTCGCTTGGTGCCATACGATATCCAGCTTGTGGAGTTGCGACTCAAACATGTCTACGGGCTCAAATAGTGGCGGGAATGCATCGACAACAGCATATGGGTGTGAACTTCATGTAGAAGTGGATGATTGCGAAAAGGGTTCTGATTTTCAGTGACTCAAAGCAAATGAGTATCCAGAATACACTGTTCTGTAAAAGTCAGTAGATCAGAAAACGCCGCTAGTGTCATTTGGAATGATATTAATAGTTTGTAAGTTGGCCTCGAATGCAAGAGGAGCGAAAGGCAACCTTCCGCCGCGCGAATGAGAGTCAAGTTTGTTTAGCTTAACAGGCATGATTGCTCGTCCCTAACCTTCGTAGCCAAATAAATAAATAACCGGATTTGGAGCAACCGATCCACGGTATCTTTTTATTGCTTATCGGCTTACCGGCACCGATTTCGCTAGTAAAGCCTCGCGAAGTTTGAATGATGCCTTCGGTTTTTCGCGCACATTCTAAACGCGCGATACCCTGGCCAATACCACTAAAAACGAACATTGCCGTTTTTTTAATCGCTCATCCGAAGAAATTTGCTAAAAAAACTTGCGAGCTCGATCAAAGTAAATTTATTCCCTTGTTATTTTAAATTTGTGACATTTCCACGCATGGGATCGTAAAAACAAATTTGGGATTGATCCTTGGGAATCCGAACGTACCAAGTCCTGAAAAAATAATGATTAATAAACAGAAAGTTGTTTTATCTCTCTCTGGACCGGCAGGCCTTTTTCACGATGACGGTACAGACTACCACAAGTGCATTTTTCATCTCCTCCTTACGTTGCCTACTGTATGGATGGATACCAGTACCGTTTAACATGTAAGAAATAGTTTCGTCATAAGTTCCTATTTACCAAAGACGTTTTTAGCCTTAGAATACAAATAATGGCTAAAGATTAATACAATACTGTAGCTTATATTAATACATGAAGGCGATCTCCCAATCCATAACGCCCGAATCATGTTGCTGCACGCGGTATGACAACGTCGTCCAAGACAACATAGATACATGTAAGTCACACCTGATGGCACCTTCCGACAGAAGGGTCATTAATAAACTCGGTTGGAGGCAAGCAATTTAACAAAAATGCTGCAATCTCCACGACCAGAATTTAACTCGTTCGTCTTACCCAAATATGCTTTGCCACCCAGACAGTTAGCACAACGAGAACGAGTGGAAGATGTCGACTGTCTTGACCAACTTTAAGGTTTCAGAATTTATCAACCGGCTTTAGCCGCAACAAAGAAAAATAGAATTTATCGAACAAAAGATCTGCTCTCCGTATTATTCAAACAAACGATACTTCACTACTAAGTATTCGACAAGACAAAGATATGCTACAACTTCTTCGACCTCCCGCATCGTCTCGAGCTGTTTAAGTAAACTCACTCGTTTACTCCTCCGAGCGAAGCTTACGGTACACCTTCTGAGAAGTGGCACCCGTGCCGCCATTTCCGACCTTTGCCCCAGCATTTGCGTTGGTATTTGCAGACGCGCTTGCGGTTGCACTCGTTGACGCACCACCCGTGCCAGTGGACGTATTTGCAATGCTGGCACCATCAGCGCTCGTCACTCTTACAGTCTTGCTCGAGTGGTCATGACTGTTGCCGTCGGTTCTGACGCCGACGTCAACAGTGTCGTGGACGACCGCGGCAGGAGCACCGACATGGACATCATTCACTCCACAGCAGGGGCGGCATCCCACACCCACGTTAGCAACCACCTTGGAACACCCGACACCATTCCACACCCACACCTACGGCCGTTTCACGACACCAGGCACGCGACACCAACACTGGCAACACCCGGTATGCCGACGCTGACTCCTGGACCGACGTAGCCGGGGGCACCCACTCCGACGCTAGCGACGCCCGGAACACCCACCCCGACCCCGACACCAGGAACACCGAGGAGTCCGAACGTCTCGGCCCCTTGCTTTTCAGCGTGCGTGTCGCTCAAGAGAGCCGCGACGATGACGCAGAGGGCGAGGGTCTTGTTGTTGCTTAACATGGCTGCTGATTGGTGAAGATCGTGGGCTGGTTCGGTGAGACGAATAGGGTGAACTCGAGAAAGTGAATTTGAGAATGAGGTGTGGATCCTTTCAAGAACGCTGAAGGGTGGGGCGATTGGACTCGAAAGCTCACGAATCGTGAGGTATTCTTAGGCTTTGAGAGATCAGATCATAATTTATTCTGTTGAAGATACGGAGTATCATGTGGGGCTCTTTGATTGGCAATTCGTGTATATTTATACTAGGGCAGATATGTTTTGTTACAGCCTCGTTATCCGCAGCAAACGACCGCTATTAGTACAGGGTTCCTGATCTCTACATCTTCTTACCCGGTGTCTCGAATGTTTTCATTCAAAAACCAGCCGACGAGCAATTACGGGCACACTGCTGGCCTACGTGAAAAGCGAGTCCAACCTTGTCCTTGTACTTGGTATTGTATGCTCCAGGTTAAAGGTGACTGACAGCATGAAGCACAAGTCCGACACAACGATAAGAATCTCAAACCATGGCATCAGAAATCTCTTGTTGGTCCTACTTCTTTGGCACTGGCACGGTACCAAAAAGTGTGAAAATCGGTTAGATCCGCAACACTCAATAGATACTACTAAGAAGCATATACGCTGCCAGATTATTAGTAGTAAGGCACCATCCACGATCATTCACAAGTTTGTACTGGACCTAGTGCAAGTACATCTCACTCTCAAATTCACTTTCTCGAGCTCACCCACCCAAGAGCAAGCCCTCTCTATTCGTCTCATCGAACCAGCCCACGATCTTCACCAATCAGCAGCCATGTTAAGCAACAACAAGATCCTCGCCCTCTGCGTCGCCGTCGCGGCTCTCTTGAGCGGTACGCACGCTGAAAAGCAAGTGGTCGAGACGTTCGGACTCCTCAGTGTCCCTGGTGTCGGGGTCGGGGTGGGTGTTCCGGGCGTCGCTAGCGTCGGAGTGGGTGCCCCCAGCTACGTCGGTTCAGGAAGTCAGCGTCGGCATACCGGGATGTGCCAGTTTGGTGTCGGCGTGGCCTGGTGTCGTGAGTGTAAACGGCGTAGGTGTGGGTGTGGATGGTGTCGGTGTTCCAGGTGTTGCTAACGTGGGTGTGGGTGCCGCCCCTGCTGTTGGAGTGAATGATGTCCATGTCGGTGCTCCTGCCACGGTCGTCCACGACACTGTTGACGTCGGCGTCAGAACCGATGGCAACAGTCATGGCCACTCGAGTAAAACTGTAAGAGTGATGAGCGGTGATGGTGCCAGCATTGCAAAGACGTCCACTGGCACGGGTGGTGCGTCGACGAGTGCAACCGCAAGCGCGTCTGCAAATACCAACGCAAATGCTGGGGCAAAGGTCGGAAATGGCGGCACGGGTGCCACTTCTCAGAAGGCGTACCGTAAGCTTCGCTCGGAGGAGTAAACGAGTGAGTTTACCCAAACAGCTCGAGACAATGCGGGAGGTCAAAGAAGCTGTAGCGTATCTTTGTCTTGTCAAATACTTAGTAGTGTAGTATCGTTTGCTTGAAGAATACGGAAAGCATATTCCTTTTTTTCGATATCTCTACCAACACCGGGTCTCTTTCGCTACCTACCTGAAAGATATTTGAAAATATCTCGAATTGTTTTCTTTTCTTGAGACCTGTAACCACGATGACGTTGTACTTTTGTTGGGCCGACAGAACTCACCTCCTGTTGCGTTGCGCGTTGTTTTTACGAAGCCGGCATGTATCGCATCTCCTCTTTTATCATATTTAAAATTGCCTTTTTGACTTGTTGAAAATTATTGTTTCTTACCACATTTTGGCTTTTGCAGCCAAAAAACATGACCCTACCCGCGACATGACAGAATAGAGCACAAAAAGCGCATTTTTTTGTCAAAGAGCAGTTTTTTTATACCTGTCTTGCTGCGGGTAGGGTAGCTTAATGTTCTTTGTGGCGGTAAGTTTTTCTGTCATCTACGGTACTGGAAATGCTGGATTTGAGTTATGTACCGGAAAGGTAGCTTTCGCATCTTTGGCATGACTAATTAGAGGACGATCGAAATTAACAATTAAGTTTGCCATATCATTGGACCCAAATCTAACGCTGGATTCTAACTGCCAGTCCCATTGCCATCGGCCGGTCATGAGCGCTCTGTTTCCGGCGCCCGTGCGCTCGTACACGACCTTCTCAGACGCCGTGCCGACATCCAGTTCTGACCCCTACGTCTTCCCAACACGCACCCGCGGCCCACATCCCGCGATATCCTCTTCGTGTCAAGCAGCAGTTTGTTCCGCGTCGCAATGAAGACTTCGGCGACGGCGGCGCGTACCCTGAACTCCACATTGCCCAGTTCCCTCTTGGAATGGGTAAAAAAGGTGGAAATGGGTCATCTAAAAATAGCACTGGCACTCTAGCTCTCCAAGTACGTGGCGAAGATGGCAAAGTGAGCTACGACGCCATCGTCACGCAGCAGCACCGCGACAAGACCAAAGTGTACACTAGATTCAGTGACATTGTCGAGAAAGATGGCAACGCAGCGGCCTTGGCGCTGCCCAGTCAAGACGAAGAGCTGGAGACAGCCAACCGCACCAGAGACGCCCTACAAGCGCTAGTACAGGGCAAAGTGGCCAGCTCTCTACCGACCAACGTGGGGCGTCAGAAGAGCGCCAAGGAGACAGCCAAGTACATTCGCTATACACCCAACGACCAGGGCACTTCAGGCGTCTCGAAGCAGCGGATTATCCGCATGGTGGACGTGGCCAAAGACCCCATGGAGCCACCCAAATTCCAGCACACGAAGGCTGTGCGAGGCCCGCCGTCTCCTCCCGTTCCAGTGCTGCATTCTCCTCCTAGGAAACTCACGGTGGCTGATCAGCAGTCGTGGAAGATCCCGCCGTGTATCTCCAACTGGAAGAACTCGAAAGGCTTCACTATTGCGCTGGACAAACGTCTGGCAGCTGACGGCCGAGGACTGCAACAAGTGACTGTGAACGACAACTTTGCCAGTTTGTCGGAAGCTCTGGCCATTGCGGAGCGTAAAGCCCGAGAGGAGGTGAATATGCGCGCTCAG